TCTCTCTCTCTCTCTCTCTCTCTCTCTCTCTTGTTTAGTTTTGTAAGAGATGGGTATTCCATTGCCATTTAAATATTGTAGGTGAGTGAATTCAGCACAATAATCCAATATAGTCCAGTAGTCCACAGTAGTAGTGGGGTATCCGCAGGAGTGTCAGAAATTGGTGACTTGAGCCTTTTACAGCTAGCTCAGTGTTTTAATCCTTTTCAAAATGCCCCCACCTGTTGCGGACACGCTGGCCTGCGTTCTGCCACTTCCGGCCCGGCTCTGGCGTCCTCCCGGGTCTCAGCTTCGCCGCAGCGGCTGGGCAGGGCCCTGAACCGGTCCAGAGCGTCTCTCTCAGGGCCGCGGTGCAGTCGGGGAAGAGGCCGCAGTGCCGCGGGCCAGCCCTGCGGGCGGCGGGGGACAGCCCCGCACTGCGGCGCCCCACGAGCCCTCTGCAGCGGACGGCGGCGCTTGCTGCAGTGCTGCCTGTGTCTCGTGGGGACCCTCGTGAAGGGACTTCGGAGCTGCTGCAGGGGTGACAGGGCAAGGGGGGTGGCGCGCTGTACACAGGGCGTTGTGTGGGGAAGGAAAGGCAGCGAGGGCTTTACTGGGATACAGGTTGTACAATTTCAAACATTCAGTGTGTGTGTGTGTGTGTGTGTGTGTGTGCGCGCGGTGTGTGTGTGTTTAGCACAGGGTCTACAGGGTCTCACTACACAGATGCACACGCAGTGATCCTCCTGTTTTCAGCCTCCCAAGCGCTGGGGTTACAGGCGCGCCACCACGCCCAGTCTCAGTGAGCCCTGGGGCCGGCCGGGGCAGCACTGCACACTGGGGATCGAACCCGCGTCCCTGTGCCTGCCTAAGCAGGCGCTTTAGTCCGCCGAGCTGTCTGGTCGGCCCTTCGGTGTGTATGCTGGTCACACCTTGCACGCTGCGTGGGGCCAGCTCAGAGCCGGGTCACTGCCCCCTCATGGGCAGCCTCCCAGAGGCCAAGCCCGGATGACCGACTTGCTGATTTGGCCCCCACGTGTAGGTGGCAGGCCCTGGGGTTCCTGCACTGCTAGCCTCGGGAGAGCACTTGGTAGCCAGGAGGGGAAGTGAGGCGCCTGGGGGCCACACAGTGAGGTCCTCAGGAGCTGGGGCCCTCTGCTCAGGAGCCACGAGCTTAGCTAGGCGGCGCGAGCTCTCAGTGCGCTCTGCCTCTCGCCGGCTGGAAGGAGGCTTCTCCAGGCTTCTCTGCCTCCACGCTCGCAGATGGATTCCTAGACACCCGCCCTCCCAGCCTCAGCACTCTGGGTGGAAGATCAGATATGGTCTGGTTGTCCTTTTCTCTTCTGGCTTCCGTACGGACTGCATGCCTGGGTCCTGCCCCACTCCTGCTCACATATTGAAGCCTTAACGTCCAGCATGACAGTTCGGAGGTCGGGCCTCTGGGTGGTACTCAGGGTGAGAGGAAGGAGAGAGAGGGGCCTTAGGACGCAGTTAGCGTCCTTGTACGGGGAAGCGCGTGCTGTCTCTGTCTCACTCTCTGTCTCTTCTTCTCCCTTTAAAAGGCCATATGAACACACTGTGAGAAGCAAGCTGCCTGTAAGCTAGAAAGAGACCTCTCATCAGAAAATAAATCAGGTGACACCTTGATCTCAGACTTCTGGCTTCCAGAACTGTGAGAAATAAATTCCTGTTGTTTACCTAGTCTGCTGCTTTCATTATGATGGCTTAAACGTTGATAGCACCACAATGTGAAGTTGCAGTTAAAAAATTGAAAGAGAAGAACACGGTCACGCATCGGCACCTGTCAACTCCTCAGGCAAGGCTCCCTGGCTTCTGGGTAGCTCAGGGAGATGCGGCGCCAGGCTGCACGCCCTGCTGTGTGGAGCGCTGCCTGGCAGCTCCCTTGCTTCAGACTCGCTTAAGTGCTCTGCTCTCCGCTGGTGGCGTCATGAGGCCTGCTCTGGGCGGGCCGCAGGCTGAGAGCATGCTGAACGTGCTCCTGCAGCCCTGACATCCCCTTGCTGTGTAGTGCTCTCGGGGGGCCGCAGGCGGACAGCACGCTGAACGTGCTCCTCCCACAGCCCTGACATCCCCT